CCCCTTCCCAATAGACTTTTGATTCCTCAGTATGTTTGTCTCCTCAGACAATTCATTTCCAAGTGTTAGTCAAGAGCCCACTCTCAGGTCCTGAAAAAAGCCCCCTTTCTGGTAACAAAAACTTATTAACCCTCATATGCTTAATTGCAAGCACCATGCCTATCATCGGAAGGAAAGCAATATTTTTTTTTTCTCCACTAATTGTTTTTAAAATCAAAGTCACTTGAAACAACCTAGGATTCAGAAATAATTCCAACAGATACATTGTTTTGGTAGTGAAAATACAATTTACTATCTGGCGAAAAATCTTAAAATACTTTTGGAATTCATTTTTTAGGTGCACCTCAACCTTCTAATCCATTGATTCTCTTTTAGAAACATGCTAAGGTACACATGCCTTACCAATGTTCACATGCTTATATACCCCTAGAGCCACAAGAGCATAATGATAACTTAGATCACACATATGGCTGTGTTTTATTTATTTTTCTTTAATTCCAATAATAATTCACTATTGCCAATGTTTCTGTGAGTGCAGGGCTTGCTGATCTATTCCCCCAGCAACCTTCTTGTTGTTTGGTGTGATCCAACCACATTTCTTGACCTTCAACTTCCATTCAGCATCATTCAACTTCCAATTCAGAGTTGCTCATATGCTGTTTCCTTTGCTTGAAGGACGTTACCACCTTTGTGTGTGTGTGTGTGTGTGTGTGTGTGTGTTCAGTCACTCATGTCTTGACTCTTTGTGACCCCACAGATTGTAGCTCACCAGGCCTCTCTGTCCATGGGATTTCCTAGGCCAGAATACTGGAGCAGGTTGCTATTTCTTACTTCAGGGGATCCTCCTTACCCAGAGATTGAACCCGTCTCTTGCATCTCCTGCATTGGCAGGCAGATCCTTTGCCACTGTGAACTATTACATTTTGCAGTGATTGGATGAAATATCACCTCATGAGCAAGATCTTCCCTAATCGTCCACCTTGGAACACTCATGTTCTCTTTTTACCCAGAACTGAGCGAATACTATGTATGTATAACTGATTTTTGTTTTTCTTATGTATCATTTGCCTCTCCCATCTTAATGAAAGATCATAGGGACAAACACACACACACACACACACACACACACATATATATATATATATATATATATATATATTTACAATAGTGTTTGGAAAAAGAGCTTCTCAATAAATATTTTTAAATAAAAAAATTTCTGATTTCACTTGAAGAGATACTCAAATAATATCAAAGTTTCTCAGCCTCACTACTGATGACATTTTGGGTCAGATAATTTTTTGTCAAGTGACTTGCAGGGATGGTTAGCAGCATTTCTAGCTTACATCCAATTGATACCTGCAATAGTGACCAGCTGAGACAAACAAACATGTCTTAAGATATTGTTAAATATCTTTTGGGGGACAACACTGTCTCTGATTGAGAACAATTTTTACAGATCTACACAATAAACAAGATAAGCAATGAAGGACATGTGGGCTTTCATCTGTTTCTGTTCCTTCCAAATGACTAAGATTTTTATCTCCTACAGATGTAGCATATTAGAAAATGTTGAACTTGGATTAACCTGCCTGGAAGTTTAAGTTTTAACCCTACCTTTATAATATTAGATAATAATAAAAATAGAGCAGTACTTACACACATTAACATAATTGAACACATAAATGCACTCAGCCAGCCACTGAGTCAAGTACTTCGTATACTTAAAATTATTTGGTCTTACCACTTCACGCGGTATGCACTGCCTTCCAGTTTTACTGAATGGCACTGGAATGGCACCTTCTATTAAGAGGTCATTCAAATGGACCAAGGTGAGAAAACTTACAAATGAAGACAGAGTTGGGCTCATAAGAATGACTCCATAGTCTGTCCTAAACTGTCTCATATGGCAGACACCAGTTAAGTCACTTACCCTCATGCAGTTATTGATTGCAAATGTCTGGCTTGAGTTTGAAATAACTGGAAAACACTTGATGAAAGAGGATATTTCAAAAATTTATGTGACAAAAGAATGTAAAACATCTGCATAAGTTTTATATTAATGATATGTTTAAAGGATAATAGTGGCTTAAAATATATGATTAAAATTAATATGTCCTGCTTATTTTAATTTTTTAAGTATGGTTGGTAGACAATTTAAAATTACATTTGTGGCACACAATCTTGATTTGCATTCTATTTTTATTAGGCAGTACCAGTTTGTTCTCTTTATTATTTCCACTCTGAACCTCCTTTACTTCTTCTGTATATTGGGTATAATAATAATAATAATAGCAATGTGTGTATACAAGTAACTTGCGAGTGTCAATGATATGCTACATATGAAGGTCTTCATAACCTGTGGAACTCTCGCCAAACACCAGCTATTTAATGAAATGAGATGAGAAATTAAAAACTAGTTTTCCGCATGTTAGGTAACTTAGACTATCAAGTAACATTCTAATTGCCATGACTGAGTGTTCCCAATAGTAAGATGTGGTTGCAAATATTCATAAGAGAAAAGATAATTGAGAAAATAAAAATCCATAAATTATATTTCCATTTATAATTAAAAAGTAATGAGACAAGATACAGGATGCTCTAAAACTTCTTCTAACATATTATGTTGTACATCTGGAGTTGGGCATGAATTTCAAACCACCTCTGCCATTACTTACAGTTCATCCTTAATGTCTATAACATTCATTTTCTCATTTGTAGAATGGAGATCAGATACTAACCTCAGTGGGTTCTGATAAAATAAAGTAGGTTAATAAGTAACTTGATGTGTGGTGAAATGAAAACGTTATTCAGAAAACATGCTATGCTCTTTTCTTTTCATTATTATTATTTTATTATTATTACTATTGCTATTATACCCTGGCTTGTGTAATATGCCTACCAGATACCAACCACAAAATCTGACTAAACAAAAGAAAACAACGTAATCAGTGAATGAATTAATAAAGGTATTGTAGTAGAAGAAAAATGATACAATGGATTTTACTGGATATTTTCATCGGTTCAAATGTCTATTTTTCCATTTAATTAGAATCTATTAATTTGTTTATCAAATGCATCATTTTTAAATAGGCTGTGTATTTTGGACATGTGTGCATATATGTTCTTGAGAAGTGAAACTCTAATAATCCTGGAACTTCTCTGCTAGTCCAGTGGTTAAGAATCCACCTTCCAGAGCAGTTGACATGGGTTCAATCCTTGCTCGGGGGACTAAAATCCTGCATGACACAGGGCAACTAAGCCCATGGGCCACAACCAGAGAGAAGCCTGCATGCCAAAATGGAAGAGCCTACATGCTGCAACTAAGACCTGATGCAGCCAAATAAATAAATTAATTAACATTAAAAATAAAATTTAACAATCCTCTTAATGGTCATCTTTTACTCAAAATACTTTTCTCACAAATACTTTTGCTCATTGTGGATTGTGCAGCTAGTTACAGTTTGTTTTTTCAGATTTGTATTCTGTTCTCTTGGTAAGAGGCTCATAGTAAGAGGTGGTCAGAAATGTAAAATGTGAAATTTAAGTTTTAGTGCATGGGCATGTCTTTAGACCTGATCTGAAAGAACCATAAAGATTTATTCTTGATTTTCTTTCCCCTGCCAATACTAAAATTACCCTGAAGCTGAGGCCTGATAATTGGAAAACAGCATAAGCAGACACACTTCCCTCTGTGTTTTGGGTCAAACACCACAATAGCAATGGCTGAGGTACATGTAAATTAAAAATCTAACAATATATCATCAAAAATACATAAGAATATGATTAAGCTCACTCAAGATTATTCTATATGAATTTTATAATCTTTCAACACACATGATTTTAAACAATTCAATTAAAATCATGCACTATTAATAGTCAAAGTTAGATAAAACTGGTACAAGAAGAGAGGTGAAATGCTTCTAAAGAGTCAAAACAACACAGTAATTCTTAGACTATAATTCTTTCTGTGTAATGGTCTTTAGCATAAACATATAAATATCACGTAAAGTTATTGCTTTTTATGTTTTAATGCCTTAACACAAAGTTACGTAAGGCAATTAAAAACAAAAAGCTAAAACTGGAAGATCAATTTAGAAGTTAATATGCAGCAAATGTTAAAAATTAAAAACATAAATCATCCCAAAGCCTCTGTTTCATACCACATTTCCTAACAATGTGAGCATCCATCTTGAAATAAAGAGTCATTTAGATTAACAGGAAATTGACTGAGTCTTGGCAGTGTCCTCTGAGATCCAGTATCATATGCCCTAGCTGCATGTTTTCTACCAAATTTGTATAAAAAAGAATAAACAAATGTAATTATACAGTCAGATGCTAATGGTTCTTAACCTATTCCTGACCTGTTTTGAGAATTTGAAGGATTCATTTTAAACCACAAAATAAATCTATAAATAAATCAGAATACAAACTGTTTTAGTAAGATTGCTATTCCAAACACATGGAAGCCTAGCATAGTGATAGTAAATGGAAGCCTGATTAGTTTGTAAGGTTCTCCCTATGTAGTTCTTTTTGGCTAGGTCTTTTTTTGTTGTTGTTCTAAGTCTTTATAATATGAAAAATTAGATATTTTACTGAAACATTTTATCCTCAAATTAGAATCCTCCTTATTAAATTCTAAGTAGAAATAAACACAATCATTGTGAAAGTATAATTTAGTTTTTTTTTAATAAAATATTTCCTTTGCTAACTGATAGAAATAGTTCTTAGATGATAATCATGGATGTAGAACATATAGGTACATATATATATATATATATGGAGAGAGTTTATGATCATAGAGCCCTCTGTCTCTGAAAGAAACATGTTTGAAATATTTTATCTCTTAATAGCAATGAATTTATCAGCATATGCATCTTTTTCTTCATCCTTGTAGCATATTTCAATCCGTTTTAAATGAAATGATTGACAGTTGCTTTCTCTTTTTTTGTTTTTCACTCTCAAGCTTTTGCCCTGCAGAAAGGCCGTTAAAGAAAACTTACTCTGGGGGAAGCGCGGGGGATTGTCGTTGACGTCTGTCAGCGTGATGTTGACCGTGGTGGTCCCCGATAAGCCTCCCATCTGGCCGCCCATGTCTTTGGCCTGGATTACCACCTGATATTGCTCCCTGTTTTCTCTGTTCATGTTTGGTAAAGCAGTCCTTATAATACCTTGAAGGAAAAAAAAAAAAAAACTTTTATTATGGTTATTAAAATCTCAGTTGTTATTTGATTAAGCTCACAAATTGCAAATACAAAGTAGTGATTTTTGAAAAACAAAAATGTTTTCTCCATCTCTTTTTATTGTCTAGAGATTATAAAATGATTCTCAGTAAATATTTTCCAATTTGTTTGGTTCTTCTATTTTCTAAAGATTGTCATAGATGCTGTCTAGTGCCCTAAACCCAGATGGAAAAATATAAAAGCAGGTATATTCCCATTAGTTTGCACAATCATTCAGCTTTGAGTTCTTAAATCTTTAATTGTGGCATCATCACTCTTATGTGAGTATTAATGTTAAAGTGTTGTTCCTTTTTTTAAAAACTTATAACAATCATAGAGACTATTAAATAAATCAACACTGATTCATGATTCCTGACCTGTTTCAGGCTCCACAGAGAAATATGGCTGCCCTTGAAGTATGCTGTAAATGACTCTGGCGCTGTTTCCATACGAAGGGTCATCGGCATCTGTAGCTGTGACTTGCACCACAGAAGTACCTGAAGTATCCAAATTCAGCTTAGTTCTGCACAGTACCAGAAGGAGGAGCAAAAGCACTGGTTTTCATGGAAGACTTGAATGATTTTTGGCTACCTCTTAAAGAAACATTTGTATATAATTTAGATGAAAAAATATAGAGAGAGTTATTACAGGTAGACTTTGAATTCAACAAGGTATTTTATTTAGCCAACAGGTGCATTTCATTCATGTAATAGATAATGCTGACAGTGTATCAGATTATACTAAAGGCAGACACTTTACAAATGCTCCAGTTTGGTATTTAAATTCACTTTCACATAATAGATTTGTTTCGTGTAAAGGGCATATCTAATCACAAAGGAGTAAGGATGCTTTTCTTTCCCTCTCTCCACTAATTAACTATAAAAATAATTAACATCTGCTCCAGAATACAGTTTTATGAATAGATTAAATTCTAAATTTAGAAACAATCCAAGATGATCCCAAGTCCCATGAACTATTAAAAGCTATTTAATAAAGTTCAAAATATATAAAAGGCTTTATATTAAGGTGATTGCCAAAAGTCCTTGGGATTTAGTGAAGTAAATATTAAATAATAATCCCTGAACAATGCTTTTGAGAAAAGCAGTATGACATTTTCTATTATAATTGTTACAAGGAAAATGTATCAGAATTACTTCATCAGTTTACTTCTCTTACATTTGAGAAATGAATCTATTTTACTAAATCTGAATACATATCTCTAAAAATGTTATCATTGTTTCCTGATATTTACTTTTCTGTGGTTCTTTATTTAACAAAGAAATGACATCAGTCTTAATTTTCTTTGCCTACCAACAATTTCTATTTATTTATTGAAAAGCAAATTCTATTTTCTTGAATGTTATACTTCCAGTTTTATCACACATTCTGTTTCACAGCTTTTGCAACTTAATTTTGTAATTCTGTACCCATTTGTCATTAGCTGTTTATTTTTAACTGGTTCATTTGAATAAGAGATTTATATCAGGAAAGTTTTATATATAATGGCTATAGTGAAATATTTTAAAATATTTAATATGAAGTAATAGAAAATCTAATTAATTTCATTGTTCATGTCATCTAGGTAATACAAACTCTTTAGACAAATTACAACGACAGTACACATATAAAGACTCCAGATTGCATTTATGGTGTTCTAAGTGTACTTATAGTATATTTGGAGTCAGAATTTTAAACAACTATTCTCCAAATATATGTAACAAACATTTATGTTTTCATAGTTTTCTACTGAAGTTCAATGGTATTTTCTTGGATTTTTGAGGGAAGTGTCTATTTATTATATTGTAGAAATATACAAACCCATAGGAGGTGAAAAATGCATTAATCTTTTTTCTGGCTCATTTTTTATTCATAAAATTAAGTACATACTCAGGAAATCAAAGATGAATTCAGTTAATTGACCACAATATTCTAAGAGTTTCTTGATTACTATTTTTTATATTTTTTGAATGCCACCATAAAAGTTGTAAATGAACTCACCTACAACGGACATTTCAGGAACACTCGCTGTATAAATTTCCTCTGGGAACGTTGGCTCATTGTCATTGATATCATGGATTTTGATCACAAACTCAGACTCTGGTTCTACCGGCCTCAAAGTTCTTCTGTTAATAGCTTGTGCACGTAGAGTATAAAAGGCCTTTTCTTCCCTATCAATTCTTCTTGTGGCATGAATGTCACCTGTTTTTTCATCAATAATAAAAAGAGTACCAGCTCCATCTCCAGATAAAATATATTTGAGGGATCCATCTCCTTTATCTTGGTCTGAATGAAGCTAGGGGAAATAAAAATGAGCATATCCATGATAATGTCTAAAGGTACATAATGCAGTAAGAATTCAAAGAAGGTCTCTCAAGTCCCATCCTTGAATAATGGGATCAGTTATCTCAGTTCTTGAAATGAGAGTTGAATAAGTCTGATCGCACTCATCTATATACTTTAAACAATAGGACTAGCCATTTCCATATCAGTGTGATTTTTATTCTAACTGGAAAAAAGTAATAAAATAAACCAAACACAGCTTCTTTCTTTGCTTAGCTTGGTAAATAACCATTTCTGTACGCAAATAACTCCTGACAAAGACATAAGTCATCAGTCTTGATATGCTGATGTAAACACTGCTGCTCTCATCTCTTGCTGTGAATGGAAAATCCTTTTACTCTCATATTATACACAGCATTTATCTCCTGTAAACTTATGATTAATTACTGTATTTCTGTTGGGGAATTCACAGTATCTTAAGGATTGTAGGGCAGGCAAAGTTGCATGACACAGTTCTAATGATACATTAGAAAATTTGCCCATCATTCTTTGATTCATACAAAAAACAGCAGCTGTCCCAAGAAATATTTGTAGAGTTCAGAACAAGAGTATGAAAATATATCTATATAACACCAGATTATAAATCAGAAATACATAAAAACACCAGAAAGCTATAAATCAAGCTAATAAATAATTAAATAATATATGCTTTATCTAGCTTCCTACATTGTCAAATCTATCTTTTTAACAAGCTAAAGCAAGTTTTATGCAGAAACAATGCAATACAGAGCAACAACACTGATCTTCCAGAATCTAGTCATCACATCAAAGAGCTTTACATGTATTCATGTGGATTCAGCCCTGTGCACATCCCATTCCAGTCCTAATATTGTCCAGGAGCCCATGTATCATTTTGCAATCACCAGGCATCTGCAATTGCCCTGCAGTATCGATGGAGGATTGATTCCCGGATCCCAGTGGATGCCAACCTCCGAGGATTCTTGAATCCTGACATAAAATGGCACAGTGAAGTCCTGTGTATGTGTATATTCATCATCAGTCATGTCCATTTCTTTGCTACCCCATGGACTGTATCCCATCATGCTTCCCTGTCCATGGAGTTCTCCAGGCAAGAATACTGCGGTGGGTTGCCATGCCCTCCTCCAGGGGGTCTTTCTGACCCAGGGATTGAACCTGGGTCACTTTCAGTGAAGGCAGATTCTTTACCATCTGAGCACCAGGGAAGCCTTCAGCCCTCAGTATCTATCTATAGGCTGAGCATCCGTGGATTCTACCACCCGTGGATTGTGCAGCATTTTTACCACCTGTGATTGGTTAAATGTCCCTGGTGGTTCAGATGGTAAAGAATATGCCTGGAATGCAGGAGACCTGGGTTCAACCCCTGGATTGGGAAGGTCCCCGGGAGAAGGGAATGGCTACCCACTCCAGTAGTCTTGCCTGAAGAATTCCATGGACAGAGGAATCTGGTAGGATACAGTCCATGAGGTCGCAAAAAGTCAGAAACAATTGACACTTTCACTTTTCACAGACACTGAGCTCACAATTGTGGAGGGGTGACTGTATATTGTTTTTAACAAATTCACACTAGACCAGCCTCAGGATGAAAGCTTCATATAACAACGGGTAAATCTGGTCTTTGGCAGCCTGACCTGGAGAAAGGACTCTTCAGGATCCAGAAGCAAGTTAAAGGATGTTTGGGCAGGGAATATGAGTCTCAAGTACTTCAAGCATGGTCTGGAAATGGATGTGCCAGTTTCAGATATGAAAACTCCCTTGCTTGTCCAGAATTCTTCCCCTGAAGGTAGGACTTAGCCATAGGATAAATAGAGCATGGCTCTGCAAAACACAAGGATTGTAGGTTTTTCTCTAACTGTATCACCCAACCAATAAACATTTTTTTAATGCTATGATCATGGTTTGATTATAGTAAGAGATTATCATTTAAAATTTATATTTTGCTTTTTATCTGCTAAGAAATAGAAAAATAATGTGTAGGTTTTTGAAGTTTTGGTAAAGCATGTAGTATTACTTAGCCATCATCATGTCCATGTTGTCTTTCTAAAAATTGAAGTATAGTTTTGGGCTTCCCTGATAGCCTAGTTGGTAAAGAGTCTGCCTGCAATGCAGGAGACCCCAGTTCAATTCCTGGGTTGGGAAGATCTGTTGGAGGAGGGATAGGCTACCCACTCCAGTATTCTTGGGCTTCCCTTGTGGCTCAGCTGGTAAAGAATCTGTCTGCAATGTGGGAGACCCAGGTTCGATCCCTGAGTTGGGAAAATCCCCTGGAGAAGAGAAAGGCTACCCACTCCAGTATTCTGGCCTGGCTAATTCCATGGACAGTACATGGGGTCGCAAAGAGTCAGACACACCAAGTGACTTTCCCTTTCACTTTCATAGTTGCTTTACAATATAGTTTAGTTTCAGGTATACAGCAAATTAACTTGGCTATACATTCTTTTTTATTGTTTTCTATTATAGGTTATTACAAGATATTGAATATAGTTTCCTGTACTAGACAGTAAGTCATTGTTGTTTATTATATATAGTAGTATGTATCTATTAATCCCATATATCTAATTTATTCCTCTCCCTCCTTCCTCTTTGGTTACAATAAGTTTTTTTCTATGTCTGTGAGACTGTTTCTGCTTTGTAAATAAGTTTATTGGTTACATGCTTTTTTTCTTATAGTCATATAAAATGTAGTCATTAATCAGAATAGGCATACTTACCTATAGCCTAGAGAAATAAAAATTGGAGACAATATCCTTCAATTATGCAAAATATTATAGAATTAGATATTTACCTAAATAGGTCTGATGTTTTTGCTCTTTACTTAAACCAGCAAAAATTTTTATCTAATTATCTGTAGAAATAGTACACTGATTATATTCTCTTTAAAGTAGAATCTCTTCCCTTATTTGAAAGTTCATTTTGCTTTATAGGGGCTTATGTCAATGAACTTGCCTGTGAAAGTATTTTTAAGTGGACATCAAATTGTTTAAAGTAAACAAATATTTAATTCCTCTCCCCCCAATATATTGCATTGCTGGTTACTACTTGAAAGCAGTTTATTTTTCAGTTAATTATTTATAGTAATCATCAGTTAGCCATTAAATTTGGATCAAACTTCATTTTGCTGATTTCTGGATAAAAACCTCATTATTACAGATACAACAGAAAAAAGAAAATCTCAAATGGATAGGTGCTTTGGAGAAAAAGATCTAGAAGTCAGGTAACAAATACTTTTTTACTGCATTTTTAGCTATTCATAAACAACAAAGTAAGCTTGAGAAATAAGAAATATCTGTGTTTAACAAAACACCTCTCAGAAGTAACATATGACTGTGTTGTCCAGGGAAAAAAAGTCACAAGATTGAAGCATTTTAGCAATTGAAAATGCACATAGTTGCTGGGAAACTTTCCAATTATATGAATGTGCAATACAGCTTCAATTTTCCAAATGACAGATATAAGCATTGCGTAGTTCTTGTTCTGTCTGGGAAACAAATAGTTCAAGAAAAGATTATTGATATTACCAATCATCTCATCAGAAAATTTTGTGATGTCTTTTAGACATTTACAGTGTTTACTGTCTATTCTTTCAACAATTTTAATTGAGAAATATTTAGTTACTCTCATAAGAATCAAGTCTTTCTAAACAGAAATCAACAGTTCCATCCTAATGCTATGGGGGATTCAAACACAGTAATAGAAATTCACAGGAGAGTCCCCTAAACTAGCTTATGGGAATGAGTAGATTTCGTTAAATATATATCACACAAGTTTCATGGTAAAGAAGGAGCAGAGGTTTAAACCTGGGGATTTTTTTTTCTGCGTTTTACAAATTTTATATCTCATAAAGAACATTGGATAAATATAGAACATAGATTCAGAGTGGAGACGGAAATAAGGCAAGATGGGAATCATTAAGACCAGTTCTACTCTTCTAATCAGTTAGACATACAAAAAAGAAGTTGCTAGTATGGTGAGAGTTTAATTTTTAGAAAGCTCAGTTTTGGAATATGAATCACAGCAGGATTCTTACCTTCACTTATACTACAGAGAGTGAAAATTAAATCTTGTAATTGGACCACATACTGGGGGAGTTTCCGTTGGATTAGAAAATTGAACATGATAGCTGGGAATCAAAGAGATGTCAGTTGGAAGCTGGACTGCTGGTTTCATGATTCAGAAATGAAAAGACTTCTTCCCTCTCAAATGTAAGAGAAACAAAGTAGATCTATGAATTTATAAGTGTTGGTTTTAAGAAACCAGACAGAATACATTTTTTTTGAATTCTAAGAACTTGCATAAAAGTAAAGAAAAAACATGTTCTTTTCTCACAGAGGGAAACAATGGAACACTAACACTAGAATAAAGGGACAAAATGACCATATCTGGGGGCTTTGCATTAGTCTGTTTATTAAAATATTATTTAAATAGACATATGTGAAAATTGGACAAGTAAAGAGATAAAACAGATACAGATGGATGAAACTGGAGCCCATTATACAGAGCGAAGTAAGCCAGAAAGATAAAGACCATTACAGTATACTAACACATATATATGGAATTTAGACAGATGGTAATGATAACCCTATATGCAAAACAGAAAAAGAGACTCCGATGTATAGAACAGACTTGTGGACTCTGGGACAAGGCGAGGGTGGGATGTTTCAAGAGAACAGCATCGAAACACGTATATTATCTAGGGTGAAACAGATCACCAGCCCAGGTTGGGTGCATGAGACAAGTGCTCGGGCCTGGTGCACTGGGAAGACCCAGAGGGATTGGGTGGAGAGGGAGGTGGGAGGGGGGACCGGGATGGGGAATACATGTAAATCCATGGCTAATTCATTTTAATGTATGACAAAACCCACTGCAATGATGTAAAGTAATTAGCCTCCAACTAATAAAAATAAATGAAAAAAAAAAAAAAGATACATACTATGAGGCAGAAAGATGCATTTTTACATGTTCTGAGACTTGACA